TTGATAACCCTGATTTGCTTCGTCACAGGTTAACCATTCGTTTAGCTCTCTCTGATCATCTAGACCAAAAGCAACAGCCGATTGAGCTAGAACTTCGTTTGTCACATCATCACGCTCAACAGTTTCGGTGGCAATTTCATCGGTTGACTCAGGCCACAGTTTGTTCCATGATCTTTTAAGAGTTTCTTCGGAGACTTCATCCCATGCATCAGCTGTGTTGTACACAACATTTTTCATATTGTATGCTTTCCAATATTCGATTATAGAAACAGTCTCTTCCGTAACAAGAGCTTCGATGAATTTCTTTCTGTATCTACGTTTGAATGTTTCGATAACTGATTGGTCCATTGGTTGCACTGAAGAAGTAGTGTTGGCTGGTAAAAATATGCACTTGATGTTTCCATCGTCACTTTGCAACGAACCTGCTTCTGGATGTGTAGGTGCATTGTCTAACAGCAGAACGGCTTTTGGCGGCAAGTTCTTCGATTTCAGTTCTTGTCGGACCAATGGAATGAATACCTTTTTGGACAATTTGAAAGAACGGTTTTAATGTAAAACATACAAATCGTGTCCATGTCGAATATTAATGCTCACCTTTTTGAACCATTCAGCGAATATTTCTTGCTCCATCCATGCACTCTTCTGGCCGCAGTATCGAACGGGTAGCGCATTCATATTCATCCCCTTGAAACACCGTGGTCTCTTTGCTTTACCAATCACCAGCAATGGAAGTCGATGAATCCCGCTCGCATTTGCGCATACCATCACTGTTACTCGTTCCTTCTGCATTTTGAACCCTGGTGCATACTTTTCACTAAGAGACGCGAGTGTTTTTGTCGGTAATGCTTTGAAGTTTAAACCACTTTCGTCAGCATTGTAAACTTGATCGCGGCATAATCCCATTTCATCGATAATTTTAGCAAATTCCTATTTGAATTCCTTAACAACTTCTCCACCGGCGGCGCTTAATTTTTCGCCTTCTATATTCAGTTCACGAATGTCGTGTCGATTCTTGAAATTGGTCAACCAGCCATCGCTTGCCTTGAAATTCGGATCGTCGTTCAAATTCCTATTGAATTGTAATGCTTTTGCAGCAACAATTGGTCCTGACAATGGAATTCCTTCACTTCTTTTTTGGATAAACCATAAATACACCGCTTTGTCGAGAGCTTCATTTGCTGCTCCTTTCATTGTTTTACGTAGTTTCGTACGACCATCCATTGATTCCATTCGGGAAGCATACATTTCGATTTCAGCAGCATTTCTTTTCAAATCATTGATTGTTGTTCGTGGAACACCAAATTTACTCAAAGCGACAGCAGATGCACCTTTTCTTATTTCACTAATAATTTATAATTTCTTTTCCAACGAAAGAACATTTCTTTTTCGTTTTCGAGTATCCGATGTGCATGGCTGAGGCTCCATTATGTAGCCAAATGAATTTGTGTAAATTGTTTGGAACAACAAATGTAATTTACTCGAGTCGGCTAGCAAAATCAAAGTGATTGAGAGTGCAATCGAACACGATCAATCAAGTCATGAAATGGAATAAGTCACATCATGCAAAGTGAATTTATTTTGTCGAAATTCTATTTTTAGAATCGCGAACGAAAGAGTGTGCCGCTGTTCGCAATCTGTGTAATTGTGTTCGGTGCTATCTATAACTGTGCGTTGTGCTAACGTTTGCATTTTCTCCGAGTCCAGTTTATTGTATGCAAACGCGAAATCTCCAAAATTTCTTTTTCGCCTTTCGTAAACAAAAAAAAAATAAACCAAAACAAACCGTATTGCTTTGCGGAATGTGTTCATAAAAGAACCAAACTAAAAAAAAAAATTATCGCTGAGGGGGTGACGGTTAATCGGACTGACGGTTAATCGAGAGACGGATAATCGAGAGGCTACTGTATTGAAATTCTTTTAGAAGTAACTACAAAATCTACTTCTTTATAAAATAAATACAACGCTGAATCACATAAAGCAAAACTCAAAAAAAAAAATTTTCCACCAAGACACAGAAAAACTGTTCAAATCTTTTAACACCTGATTTTGGCACTAAATTGAATGTAGTTAGGACTAATGAATAGTGAGTGTTTTTTTTTCATTTACAATAAAAATCTTTTTACATCATGAATATTTTGAAAAAAAAAAAAATTTCTTCAATTTTCAAAATGACGTCCGTCTCAAAAGTGTCCTATTAAGACAATTTGTTCGTCCGTCCTAAAATATTTGTCCGTCCGTTTGTCCTAATTTAAAATAGAACATTAGAACAAATGTCCGTTTGTCCTTTTTGGCAATGGGACATTAGGATAGTGATGGCTTCGAACGTTCGTTCGTTCGTTCGACAATTAAAAAAAAATATTTTTCGTTCGTTCGTTCGACAATTTAAAAAAAATATTTTTTGTTCGTTCGTTCGTTCGACAATTTGAAAAAATATTTTTTTGTTCGTTCGTTCGACATGGTTTTAAAAAAAGGTTTTGTTCGTTCGTTCGTTCGACATTCATTTTGTTCGATGTTCGGTCCGAACAAAGTTTTTTTTATTTCGAAATCTCCCAAATAAACTTGGTATTACTATGAAAAAAATTATAATAAAAGCTTATAAAAGCATGAGCTGTAACGATTACATTATAAATTTGATCAATACATCGAATTTTCTAATGTAAAAAAATTTTGTTCGGACCGAACATCGAACAAAATGAAAAATGAATGTCGAACGAATGAACGAACAAAAAAATATTTTTTCAAATTGTCGAACGAACGAACGAACGAACAAAAAATATTTTTTTTAAATTGTCGAACGAACGAACGAACAAAACCTTTTTTTAAAACCATGTCGAACGAACGAACAAGCGTTCGAAAGTGTTCGACGGCCAACACTACATTAGGACAAGATGTCCGTTTGTCCTTTTTGGCAATGGGACATTAGGACAAGATGTCCGTTTGTCCCAAATCAATAAAAGGACGGACGGACGAACAAATTTTGTCCTTTTGCCACCTTTAGTTCGGTGCCTTACCCGGACCCGACAATGTAAAAACAGGTCATCACTTAAACGGTCATAACTCCTATCAAACTTGACATATGGGAATGTTTCTTATTTTTCTGCAAATCTACGTTACATTACCTTTCGATTGGTATAGGTGTGAGCCAAATCGTTTGAGTGGAAGTATGTTTTAAATCAATAATATATAGATTAACGAAAATTCGTTGTCCTTTTCAAACACAGTAGTTCAAATTCAACAAGTCGTTCTACGAAGGTGCACTTAAGACTGTCAGGCGTGTATTTAATGTGTACTTTATTCTGATAGACGCGTAGTTAATGATGATGACAGATGGGTTTCGCCGCTTTGCATTTATCACATGATGCAAATTAAGTGATAAGGAGCGCGAATTTCGATGTGGCGATAACACCAATGGATTGAGCACAAAGAATACTGTATGAGGATCGAAAAAAAAATTCAAATTTTTTTCGATTTTTGCCTGTTACCGATCGTCTACATGGGAAATTTGTATGAAAACCTCGGAGCGCCGGTGTTTTACCCACAACACATCAACAAAGCAGTCTGCTTCACCGTAGAAAAGAAGTGCCCAGTAAACGAACAAGAACGTACATGTTTTGGCAACGTGGCTTCATTAGTGATTATGAATGAACGTAATTTCTCGTTACATTTCTCATTACGTTTTTAGATCGCATTTTAACCACTTTTAATCGATTTCTCGTCGAAAATTCATCGTAGAATGCGACCCTTCGTACAAATTCAGTTCATTGATGAATCGCCGATGCCCAGAACTTCAAAATACGATTTTTCCCGGTTATGTGGCATACGCCATTTTTTTTGTTATGGCTACAAACGCTCAGTTTTTGGTAAAAGGTTGTTGGGCTGATTTTTGAGAAATCGCCTTTGGCGTGAAATTTAAGGGGGTCGATTTTTCATGTCAAATCGACTTTTTTCTCTTATATCACATAAACATTGGCATGTATGTATGGAACTTTTTGAAGGTCTTCTCAAATGGGTGTCTGAGTTGATCTAGTGTGCGAAATAAATACTTAAAAAATCGTATACATGCAGGTTGATGAAGCCATAGCCAGCTCTCTTGTAACGCAAATGTCAATGTGAGGACGGGTTTCGATGTGTCCCGACACCAGCTACAGCTTTGGCATATCGGCACGGAATCTGTGGGGGGTCGAAAAAACTACGGGCAGACGAACAAAGACACATCCAAACCGATAATTTCATAGAAAACCATGGCCAATGCCCATAATTTTTTTGCTTTTTGAACCATTCGGGGCACTTAGACAGGCGTTGAAAAGGTGGCGAGGAGGAGCTCCTCTGGGATAGCTCAGACTATCCCCTGGGTACCCCCTTCGTGGGATATATACCAAGACCTTCCCAACGGTACCTAACATGCCGGGGCTCAAATAGTGTCCTGAGGAGATGAAATTTGCTGTCAGAGTGTAAACAGAGGTTTTTTTGCCGCTCTGCATTCAAGAATTTATTTTCAAGTTTTTTTCAGATTTTTGGAACGTTTTTCAACTTTTCTTTGCTACAAGGTGATAATTCAATGTTAAATTTCATCGGGAAAAGTGAAGTTCATAGCAATTAACCAAAATCTACGGAAGAAAACTGAATTGTTTTGTTTTGTTTTGCCGCTTGAACCAATAACAAATAAACATAACCACAACATGTCAACAACACAACCACACTGCTGCGGAAAACACGATTGTAAAGGATTGAGATACAACGGATGGTCACTAAATTGCCGATTTTGCAAGGAAAAAATAATTGTGGAATGTTTACGAAATCGAGACGAGCTGAGAACAAAAGAGCTGCTGTACGTTTTCGGATTGATGTCGAAAAAACAAATGGATAGTGGTGGTTTCAAATGGGAAGTGCTTGAAAATGATCCGAATAGAACGGCTGCATTCTCCCAAATGTTCAACGTCGATTCACCATTCGGAATTACATGTGAATCGTGTGTGGAAAAAATTGAAATGCTACTAAGCACTCACAATGATGATAACACCGGAGCTAGCCACTCAATGCCACATCAAAATGTATTAAACTGGCAACAAATGAGTGACTTAATTGCCGAATCGGTTGAGAAGAAAATAAGTGACAAACTGAATGAAAACATGACACATTTGAGCGATACAGAACCATCTAATCGCAAAATCAACATGAGTACTTATCGCAAAACACTGCCTGTATGTGATGAAAATGGTCTCTACTCATTATACATTTCCAAGGCTGATAAATCCGTTACAACTGAGGAAATGATTAATTACGTGATGGAAAAAACAGATCTGAACAATAGTGTTTTCAAAATTGAAATGCTACCCAGTAGAGGCAACCGAAAAACATACACCGCATTCAAGTTGACGACGCTTTCATCGAAATCATGTCTCCCACCAATTGGTCAACAGAATTTCGTGTAAGAGCGTTTGAAAAAAATATCGAATGCGTAAAAGCAAAAAACGGCAAAATCTGCGCTCTGAAATACGGCAGGAATTGAAACGGTCAAATCGAAGTGTAAACAATCATATCCGGAACAATAACAACAACAACAATGAGCGTCGAGGCATGAATAATCAACACAAACGCCGACGCGAGAATCGATCATATGAATTTGGCTACAATAATCGAAATCGAAATCGTAATAATCACAACGGTCGATATAATTATGAACCTCGCCATCATGAACATCGTGTAAATCATGCGTATCGTGAACAATTGCCACAGACCAATATGCCGTCTCCTTTTTGGTACCAAATGCCATATTTCTACCCTCCACCTCAGCAACAGGTTCATTCTCAGCCCACTATGCCACTATTCCATCCGCACTATACACACGCACAACATACACCACATCAAACATTCCAACCGTTCAACGTTCAAAATCACAATGG